GGTTAATGTACGTGAGGCGGACTTGCAGTTTCTGCGATGACATTTGGCTCAGGCGGGCAAGGAACCGAATAGTGAGGCATCGGGTTCCGACGTGCGCGAGGCTGCCAACAAGCTCTTTTCTTGGAGGCAGGCACCACAAAGGGATTTTTGTTTGAGCTCTACGCTCTGCACCGCAACATTCTGCCTGGCCCTCTACTGCGGGGGGAGAGGGACAGATGTGGGCCAGCGGGCCTGCTGTCGGACGAAAACCGACACAGTCCCTGCAGGCAGGAAAAAGAGGCGAGGAAAAACTCGCCACGGCAGACACCTGGGCCGAAAGAGATGGCCAGGAGAGCCGACTAGCCCGAAGAGGGCCGAGAGGAGCCCGAGCGGGCAACCTCGAGCAAGCGCTGGGCCAGGACGGCCTGGTGCTTGCTGCGAGCATCCTCCACCTCCGAGGACGGGGGAGGGGGAGGCTCAACCGAGGGAGCGGGGACCTCCTCCACCTCCACGGCAGGCTCGACAGGCCCAAGGACTCCGTCCACTGAGCTAAAAAGGCTCATGATGTTCCCTGTGTGGACCCTGACCTCCCTCTTGCTGTACTGGGGGCGCAGGCCTCGTTTGCACAACGTGTTCCATCCCGTCCGCGTGGTCTTGGTCGGACGGCCAACACATTTCACAGACAAACCGCGAACTCTCTGGCCCGAGGAGTGACAGTGGCAACGCACACAGATGAACAGAACGCTGCTGTCGGAGCAGTCAAACGCTAAAACACGATGCTCTAGAGCCAAGAGACGGCCCTCATCTAGTTTACTGCGACCACTGCAGGAACCAGGAGGGGGCTCAACGAGGGCTCTAGTGCCACGTAAACAAACTTCACACCTCCACGCTCCCGCCCAGGGTCTCCAGACATGTGGCAAGGGCGCTGAGGCAGCCGAAGGCTTACTGAGCAATTCAACACCCGACAGATCTATGGGGTCCCATAAAGGCAGGAGGCGGGCCGCGAGGCGCAATGTGCAGCGGGCCGCCTTGATAAATTTGTCCGTGACATCATTGGCTTCGGCCGAGCTAGGATGCATGTCTAAAGCATGCTTGGCTCCAACGTCGGCCCAGTAGTTGCCTTGCCTACGCCATCTCTCTTCGCTGGAGATGCCTTGCTCATCTCGGTCCTTATGAGCAGCAACTTTCTCAACGGGGAGGAGTGAGGACGCAGTGGAGTAACACTGGAGGAAAGCCCCCGAGTACATGCGCTGACCAGAAAGGTGGGCCGCCTTAGGCAGGCCAGCGATCTTAACAACGTTGAGGCAATCAGACAGGGCCGATGCGTGGCCTGGGATGCCGAGCATGTGGGCCCACGTGTAGGCCGAAAACTCAGCACTCTGCGGGGTCTGAGGATAGGGCGCCCAAACAGGGGCTCTGAATTCGGCCACACACCTACCAGCAGAGTCGACCATGGCCACGCAAGACGCAGCCCGACTAAGTTCACGGATGGGGTGCCGAGTGCACGAGCCGTCAATGAAAAGGGACCCCCAGAGCTGCCTGTCTAGGGGGCCGCCGACAGGGGAGACCTGATCGGTGTCATGCCACACAACCATAAGACCATCATCGGCATCCGTCGCGGGCTTCGGGCTGAAGTCGGCGGGATGGGCGAAAGCCCCAGAGATAAACGGGAGCAAAGCAGACCTGTCGCCACCTTCAGCCTCGAGCGCGGCCTCTATCTCTCCAGCCTTGACCAAGGCGTTGCGTTTTTCCACTATACTCTCCCCCTGACACTTCCACAGCCTATGGAACATACTATCGGGCTCCCCGCAGAACTGGCAGCCAACATCCGTCTGGTAGCCGAGCTGGAGCGCACGCTCCTTAGTGAGGAAAGCTTCGGTGGCGAAGGCTCGGATCCTCCCCTTCTCGAGAGCACTGAACTTGCTGCTGGCAAGAGCTTCCTTGACAATGTCGTAACAAAGCCTGTGCTTAACCCCTCGCTTGGCCGCAGAGTCTCTTTCCAACATACGCAAGTAAGCCTCTTTGCACAGTTTTTTGACAAGGGCGGTGGAGAACAGACCAAGGGGGATGACGAAGCCACGGTCATCTCTGATGGTCATGAAATCCGTCATCACCCAACCAATCCTAGAGAGAGACATGCGCAGGGCGGAGAGGGGGCCAGCCACACTGCGCCAGGAACACGCTTCTTGGCTAAAAATGTTCGTCCAAGCTCGTCTGAGCTCGGGGAGGCCAATCGCCCAGGGGAACTCTCCCACCTGAGACAGCCAGATTTCCTTCGACCACCGAACAATGGGAGAGCACGCGGTTCTCCAACAAGGGTCCGAATCGAGGATGGCCGAGGTGGTGAGCGAACGAAGCTTCGAGAGAGGACGAACCGATCCGAAAAGCTTCCTGCGAAGGAGGAGGAGGTCATGATCGGAGGTCCCCGTGATCTCACTCCCGTAGCTGGCGCCGGCCAAGGGGCCAGCCGAAAAAACCTTGATGATGGCGCCCCTCTTGAGCACCTTATTCTGTCTGCGAAGCCGCTTGGTGCGCCTACAGGCGGCCGCTAGCCTAGACTTCAGCTTGGCACATCGGCCTCCGACCCTGAGGGCGCGACCAGCTGTGTAGTCGACACCTAGGTTGACAGCAGAGGATGAGGGTTGGGTCGAGAGCTCAGCCAACTGGGACGAGACCTGCTCCCCGACGGCACGCGAAGAGGCAACAATACAGGTCTTGTCCAGAGCGAAGCTACAACCCAAAACCTCTTCCACCACCCCCTTCAACAGCTGCGCACAACCGACCACAGAGGCGATGACCTTCGAGGGGGGGCCCGCACACGAGAGGCCTAGGTCGTCGATGTAAACATCGAGCTCAAGTCTGGGCTGGCGAGTGATCCTGTCGTAACCCTCCATCCCGTGGACACGGATGAAGGTAGTGGCGAAGCTGCAGCCCGCCACCACTCCACTCAAAACAAAAAAGGGGCCTTCAACGATGCCTCCCAAACTGAGAAACGCCCACACTGGTAAGCAAACAGGGCCACCCTAGCTATGACGGGCGGGAACCCATGCCGAGCACATCTCTCCTGCAAGGCGGCCAAGGGGATGTGTTCGTAAAACTTACGAAGATCGAAAAGGACACTGCAGGCGGCATCTCCACTCTTGACGCCTGCTTCTGACCGAACGGCCTGTCTCCACACAACGTCGGCCGCCCCTCGATGTCTGCCAGCGGCCCAGTACCGTCTGGGGTGTTGCTGTTCCCAGGCCAGGGCCAGGGGGCGACGGAGACGCCCCCAGACCCTGTACCAGGAGCAGAACACCCCGATCGGCCTGTAGCCTCCAGCAGGCTTCGAGAGGAGAGCAAGCAGGACGACCGAAATCTGGGGGGGCAGGCAACCAAAGGCTTCAATGAGAGCAAAAATCATGCTGAGACACTCCAGCGCTGGATCTCCCAGGAGTGAGAAGTGACGGCAGTGGAACCCGTCCAGGGACACGGCCGAACCAGGCATGTAATGTTTCGAGGCGGCTCTGATCTCGTCGACGCTGAGACGAGGAAGAGGCTCCAGGATAACCCCCGAAGGCACGGCCCCCAAACCCTGGCCCCACGCAGCACTAAAGCGAGCACCTTCAGCCCGCAACAAAGAGAGGGGGTCAGACACGGTGCAACCTTTGGCGCTAAGCGTGGTGGTCGGGGTCCACGGGGAGGGATCTCGGGTGATCTGATGGACTCGCCGCGAGCCCGAAGAGACGCCGACGTGCAGCCAGGCAGACCAGTCCTCACGGGCCTGCTTGGCGAAGAACTTGTTGGCGGCCTCGAGTTCATCTTTTAACTCAAGCTCAAACTCCTCAATGACTTCAATCGTCTGGTCGGAGGCGCCAGCTATGCGAGCAGCACGATAAAAAATTTGGGTCCTGGAGCCCATGTGCTGCGCGATGAGCGTCGGCGGCTGGCAAAGCAAGAGGCCCAGCTTATCCGACAAACGGAGGTCGCCTGCACGGCGAGCAAGAACTAAGGCATGCCACTGAGCCGCCAGCCAACGAATAGCTCGGTGCTCTGGGTACTTACTGCGGCCGTCGGCAGTGAGGAGTGAGCGCCAGACCAACTGAGGCCCCGACCCACGACAGCCCTTCTTGAGCAGCTCGGCCCCAAGAATCGGCACGAGGTCGGACTCGGCTCGGTCCGCCCACGCCTGGTACAACGGACCCAAGAGCTTGTGGGCCCCCCAGAAATCCTGTTTTTTAACCTTGTCCAGGGCCGCCTTGGCCAGACCCAGCTCACGGGCCCAGGAGGAACCTTGGGGCCGAGGTCCGAACACCGCCTCCACAGGCAGCGGGGGGGGCTTCCGAAACGACAAAGCCTGCAAAACGGCAAGCTGAGGAAAGAAAATCAAATAGACAGGTCGGTGGGGGGTCAAGGACGTAGAGAAATCGACAGCGCACTCTCTCACACCTTTGGCCAGCCCCCCCGAGCAAATAAAATAATCAAAGACAGAAGGCTTCCCCGACGGGAAATGCGTGCACGAGGCTGGAACCACAAGAACACCTCGCAATTTACTGACAAACTCGGTATCTTCCAGAAGAGGTGGCTCGAAGTTGTGGTCAGCTCCGGCAACAAATGGCAAATCACAACTGGAGAGGAAGAGACCGAGACGAGACAGGATACCAAGATTGCGATCCGAAAGCTCTTCAGTGTGGTAGAGGTAGGACGAAACAACAACGATGGGGGAGGTGCCTGGAAGGTGCATGGAGCCAGCAAGACACCTGCCTGGAACAATCTCACCTCCTTCCATACCTTGAAGTCCTATCCAATCCTTAGCAAAAATGGCGACCCCCGCCGAGGTGTCGGCCTCGGTCTTCTCAGCCTCGGACCAGAGGGACTTCCAGCCCCTCTTGATACACCACGCGTTGGCCGCCTGCACATCTTCCCCTCTCAAGCGGTGCTCCTGACAAAGGACAATATGGGCGTGTGAGAGGCTTTCCAAAAGGCCGCGCATGGTGCCCCATGAGTTGCAGTTGATGGTCTTGATACAAAGCTCAACACTGTTGGGATCAGGTCTCGCACCTCCATCCTTGGCAGGAGCTTGCTTGGGAGAGGAAACAGACTGCACGGGCTGCCGTGGGGCGTCGGAGCCGACGCCCGCGTTCTGAGACCTTAAAACAAGCGATCCTGGCAAAGGTTGGGGACGGGCAGGCTGGCGAACCAGAGAGGGAGGGCTGGGTAAAGCAGGGAAGGCCGAGAGAAATCGCAGGCAGCACGCGTGCGCGTCTTGCCTGGCCTGGCGTCCAGCTGTAACGACGAGGACGGCGACACGACCGCATCGGCACGAGCAAGCAGCGACGAACGTCGCGACCGAACCGATCTATCCTTCGTCTGGACACCAGGACTTCTTAGAAAGCGTGGGAGGCCCCTCCTGCGCCAAAGATCAACACGAGCCAGATGCAGACAGTCAGCGACTATAACATCAGCTGGCCCAGACATTGGCTTTTTGTTCCATCCAGCCAGAGGCAGAGTTGAACTCTCCGCGCCGTGCGCGGGGCCGGGGAGCAACGGTGCGAGGGTCACTAACGGCGCAACGCCGGGCAGTCCCCACTCGCACCGCGCCCCCCGCTGGGTAGACAAACCCACGCCTGATGAAAGATTGCGAGAGTGCTGCAGGGGTCCCCCCTGAAGGCTGGCAAGCTGGCAGATCAGAAGCGGAACTTCATGACTCCATGGGCGTTGCTCCTCCAGGGGGGGCGGCCTGAGACTGTATCTGGGCGATCCTGTCCGCGCGCTGGCGAAGGCCTGCTGCAGAGGCGGCGCCGTCAGCGTCCGCAGCAGCCGCGGCGGCGCCAGGTGCCGCCGCGGCGGGCCCGCTGGCCGCGGCTGCAGCAGCGGACGCGCTGGCTGCAGGGGCAGCACCTCCATCGCCTCCAGCAGGTGCTGCGTTGCCCTTGCCAGGGCCGACGACAGGACCCGAAGCGGCAGGGACCGTGACAGCAGCACCAGCGTTGGTCTTCCGCTTCTTCTCGTTCTCGTCTTTGAGGCGCTGCAGGTGGGCTTGGTGTTCCACCTTGATGGCCTCCACCTTGGACTTCGACTCTTTGAACAGGTTGGCGGCCATGGCGGTGATGCCCTCGCGAAGCTGCGTCGCCCTGCTCTGCAGCTCCTGCTTGTCCGACTCGCTAAGCTCGAACTCCAGCTCGCCCATATGGAAGAGCGACTCTGCAGACAAGTCCAGCCAAGCCTCCAACTTGGTGTCGTCCAGCATGTCGTCGATGGTGAGCTTGGCCCTCTCAGCGGACGGCCCGTCGACGTATTCCGAGTGCAGGCGGTGGAAGAGGGCGCTGTGCTGCTTCTCGGCGGCCGCCAGCTCCTCACGCAAGGATAGCACATGGGACTTCTGAGCCTCCAACTGCTCCTCGATCGACTCGAACTTGAGGACGGCCGCCTCCAGCTTCTTCTCGACCGAGCGAGCGTGACCATGCGCACGAGAGAGCTGGACCTGAAGGGGCTCGTGATGCTGAGGGCGGGGCGCCAGAGCCTGAGCCGCAACGCGAGCCCTCTTAGCCCCTTCCAAGTCACCGAGCTTCTCGCAGAAAGTGGCCATCTGCTGGTACTCTTCCATGGACAGCTTGGGCTCCGACAAAGGGGTCTGGCCAGCAGGTTTGCCTCCCTTGGCAACTGGGTCGACGTAGCCGAAACTGTGGCCCTTGCCTCCCTTGATGTCCCCAGGAGGCTGCGCCAGACTCTTGCCGTAGCCGCCCTGCCAGACTGAGTTGGGCGGCAACCTCGTGGAGCCGCAGTGCTTGCACCAGGTGAAGTAGCTGGCGTTGCGCTTGCAGCCGCAGACCTCGCATGTCCAGCGTCCCCTGCCAGCAGCCGAAGGTGGAGCAGGCAGCTGAGGACCTGGAACGAGCGGAGGCCACTGTACGAGGTTGGCACGGTCCTGGGCCCACGGCTTGCCTTTGGCGCCGCCGTCAACATGCCCAGGCGAACCCTTACATCCTTTCGACATGGCGGAAGCAAAGCCGTGTCGCGCAACTGAAATGGAGCGCCCACGCTGGTGTGGCCAGCTGGGCGAAGACAAAGAGCCAATTTGGCCCGCAACAGCACTGGCCGTTTCGAAGGAGTATGCTGCTGCAAGCTCGAGCTTCACACAAATCAGCTCGAGCCGAAACGGCTAGGCACCACAAAGGGAAGTATATGCGCCTTTCTAAGGCGCGTTGTCTCTTATGCGTATGGTTTCTACTCTTGCTTCCAATGACGACTGGTTTAGACATTAAAAGAACGGTTGCCACGGTGAATGCAGATCGTGCAGGGCCTTTGTTGAGATATCTCGGCAATGCAGGGTCGGCCGTGGTTATTGCGCAGGAGCTCCGCACTGACGATGCAGGTCTGAGGGCCCTTGATGGCAACATGCGTGCCAAAGGGTTCGGCGGCGTCTATGCTCCTGCGCTGCGGGCGGACAAGGACGGTCTATCTGCTGGAGTTGTCATTATGGTTCCTAAGGTGATTACGATTACGGATCCCCCTGGGCTGAAGTCTTGCGTTCTCTACCCAGGACGATGTGCTGTAGCCAGTGTATCGTGGGGATGCGACGGCGGCCCCGTGGTCATATCGGTGCATTTTCAAGACAGCGTCGGGCTCAACGAGGAGAACCAGGCGCTTTTGCGCGAACTGGCTTGCTACATGGGCAGGCTCAACGACGTGGCCATTCCTTTTGGTGCTGGTGGCGGCGTGAACATGCTCAGCTACCTTTGGAGGCCAGGGTGGCATGGGCAGCTTTGCAGTATGTTCTTGGTTCCAGATGTGGCGACGTGCATAGTGAACAACTCTACGACAGGAAGTGCGCATGATTAGTTCGTTGTTTCTGATAAGCTGGCGGCGCGAATGGAAGCTCCGATTGTAGATGAGGTTGCTGGCTTGCCTGTTCATAAGCCCGTTGGCTTGCCGATACTGAATGGTCAACGGGCCATCTGGATGAGGTGCCTCGCGAACCCAAGGCGCTCCCGCGCAGACCCCGCATAGGCTGCTCAAGGCCTCCACCCGATTGGGGGCATGCGCCCCATGCGGTCAGGCAGGCTGAATCACAGGAGCAACTTCAGAACGCATGGGACCCCAATGTGGCTCTTGAGGAACAGGAGCTGCTTGGACGCCATGATATCATTGGTGCGGCTGCGAAGGCATAGACTGGCAGAGGAGGACCCGTTCGCACTAAGCTCGCGGGGGCCATGTGGGCTGCTCCCAAAATTCGTCCGCATCTTTCGGCAGAAGGGCAAGCCTATGTTGCCGCCTATAAGTGGATTACGCACTTCCTGAGGGCAGAGCATTTGGGGCCAAGATGATTCGCGAACATATATCACTACATAGAGGCCGTCGTGCAGCACTTCTTCCAGACTACACTTCTCCGTGGACTGGGAAGAAGGCCCATGCCGATGCAGATGGTGACGGATGGCAGGTTGTTCCGAAATAAAGCAGCGAGACAAAAGAGGGCCGCGCATTGCAAGCGATGTGTTCCAGCTGCTGAGCCACTAGAAAGACCGGTTCAATCGATGACAGATTTGCATGGCTTCATGCGACGACTGCTACGACAACATGATGCGCTGGATATGCTCAAGGGCTTTCCTGCAGGCAGGTCCCCGGTCGTTCGCACGTGACGATTCTGAAGGGGAATCGCGTAGAGTTGTAGAGACGGCAGATGAGTATCTGGCTAAGGGCGACAGAGAACGCACCATGTGTTGGCGACGATGGATCCGAGATGCTTTTCTCCATGGTGCTGGCCAGGCACATAAGATGCAGAGAAAGCAGGGACTGCACGCCAACATAGCTTCTACACAGCGAATGCACCCATATCAGATGGCGGACTATGGGATGCTTAAGTGGCGTGAAGTCTGGTCTTGTCATGACCTAGCTCGAGCTGGGAATGGGATGAATTACTTGTCATATCTGTATCTCAGGTTCGGGGCGCTGCGGAAACGTTTCCTTGGAAGTCTGCCACGGGGCCTACTAGGATCTATATGAGGCCTTTCGGATACGTCTCGGATATAAGTGTGCGGGTTGTCTGGTAGCTCTTCGCGGGGCGCCAAAGGCTGCCCGCGCGGCCTTCTAGTAGGATTGTGAGCGAAGGGTGAGATTAGGAAAACCTGAAGGAGTTACTAGGCTGATCACGCTCATGAATAGCACGGGTAGGTTTTGGGGGCGTATTCGCAAAGCTATTTCGAGATCTTGGGTTACTCCAAATGGTAGCAAGCACGTCTGGGGCAATCGCCGGGGACCCCCCTCCTCCCACGCGGCGCATGAACGCAACCTGCAGGCGGAGGTGACAACGAGGTTGGGTGAGCTTTCTGTTAGGATTGCGATAAACATGTGGAAATGTTTTGAGACTGCATCGTTTCCTGCCCTGATGGCAGAGGCGGCTGCGTTGCAGTTACTATGAGATCAGCGTGGCTTCTCGGGAACTCGCACTCTCAACCGCGGGCCATCAAGGCCCATGGTTGCGGGGGCCTGCCTGCCACTACGAGGCAAGGGATTTTGCCAGTATGCACCCATGCCACCACATTGCATATCCTGACGCTACGCGCCATCACCAAAGTTCACATGAGGCACACCAATCTCATGCACAGGGCGTTGGTAGATGACAGCACTTTGCGGTGGGCGGGTGCTGAGCTTGCCGGCATGTCTGAGTTCTCTGCGGCTGTCCAGGGACTCAAGGAAGATGTTCGGGAGCTTGGGTTCATCGTTCAGCCTGAAATCTGGATGGGTCTCCACTAGTAAGATCTCTGGGAAGATCTTCGGGAGCAAGGCTCGGGCTCTTCGGCTTACGGCCAAGAATTTGGTGAGAAATCTGGGGCGTGAACCCTATGGGGCGAAGCCTGTCAGGAAACAAGCCGCGAAACGAATCAGCAAGCTTAGTGCTAGGATGTCGCGCGTTCTGATGCTGCGCAAGAACGCTGGCGTCAAGACTACAGCGTCATGGCGCACAGGACTTCTTCTTGCTGCAGCGCACGGCGCTGCGGTAGCGGGTGTTTCTGATGCTGAACTGGCGCATTTACGACGCACGGCTGGCGGGGTTGCTGGTCGCGTCTCTTCTCCTACTTCGCTAACGTTCGTGCTAGCCACTCAGAAGGATGAACCTAATGATCTTGCATGTCGTGCTACTCTGGAGCCTGTTAAAGCTTATTCTAGTTTTATTCGGGGTCAACGGGTGTCAGTGGGGCGGCCCCAAGTGGGCCTGGATGGAAATTGACAAGCAGATGCGGTCTCGGGCTGCTTGGAACGGCGCTAGAGGACCGATTTCAAACATGTGGCTTACACGAGCTAGGATAGGCTGGAGCATGGTGTCTAGCACTACGATACGTGATGTTAACATGTACCTGATAGACATGATGAACATCCCCCCAAGTCGGTGCTACTCCTCGTCCGTGAAGGTGTCCAGTCCTTGTGTCCTTCAGAAACTTGTAGATCCCATCAAGCTTCGGGTCCCAAAATAGTTCGTGCCCTGGGGAGTCTTCATATGGCTGGGGGCAATCATAAATATGATGTCCTAACGAATCGCGTCTGCCATTCGAATACCACTGACATTCGGGCGAAATCTGGTAACCAGCATCATGTAGCCGACTGCGTGTCCAAAGACCTCCCGACCACAGACTGCGCAAGGCACCCACAAACCGTGGTGCTCGACCACTGGCCTTGGCTCCACTAAGGCCTCTGCGTAGTATTCTCACCAAGGTAACCCCATCGCCGTAGCAGACATCCTTGTGATGGGGAGCGTCGATTGAGACCAAGTTTGAGTTGCTTATAGGCATGCCGCTGGCCCCCCCAACCACCCCCGAAGTCCCGATGAAGATGCCTGTTTTGTTCTGGGGCGGCTGGTGTTCGGACAAGTCTCAGTGGACAACGGCATGCCTGTGCGAGGGACCTGGGGAGCGTTGCCAGGTCCTGTGCAAACTGTTGGCCGTGAAGAACGCAGGTCATTATTGCAGGCGCTACGATATCTTCCGAAAGTTTCGCTCGACGTCACGGGCCTTCTCTCGTTGCATGAGGAGATAACGGCCTGGCACGAAGACAGGCAGACGCCCAGGCGACATATGCCGATTTATGGCGCCATAGTTTCGCTGCTGCCGGCGACACAGATGTGCCGAAGTCGTACTGGATTCCAGCGCAGATGTCTCTGGAAACGAGCCTCAGTGTCGAGCACCATTTTGAGTTCTATGTGGGCAATGGATGGTCTGATGTCTTTGCTCAGTGGGGTACCCTTGGACATGCTTACCCGAGGGTTCTTGAGGTGCACTACGAGGGGCTCATGGCGGACGAAAAACTACGGGCTAGGTTCTTCTCGTGGGTGTCTTCGAAGATCGAGAGTCGTGATGGGGACAGTGGCCGTCCGTTCCGTGCGATTTGGCAGTCGTCTGGTAGGGCCCCCAAGTTGGCCTTAACGGAGCACGGAATGGTTTGTATGATGGTTCAGGATGTGAAAGTTGTCAAGTGTAAGGTTTGCCTGTCCCTCTCCAAGACCACTGCTAGTATGCTAAAGTTGTTGGCTACCCCGTGCGCCCTGACTCCGAGGGATCGGGAGTTGCAGGAGGCTCCGAGGATGAGGACGCAGGCCCTCGACGTTGAAGCGTCCCTGGAGCAAGTAGATGTACGTAGGTGCCTCTCGGGAGGCCAATGGTTCTGCTCTGCGCGAATCAGACGGACCTCCCATCGATGTTATTGTTTCTCTGCGTGGGCACCAGGTTTGGGTGGCTCACAGTGCCATGGTGTGCACCCTGTGTGGCTCTTATCAGGCGTCTTTCCAGGCCGCTAATTGCAATCTTGACAAAGTCTGCAAAGGCGCAAAAGGCCTTCGCAAGAGAAGTCGGCTCTGTACCGGCAACGGTATAATAGTCGTACTGCCAAAAGAGGTAAGCATCCAAAGACGGGGAATATGCTCGTCTAAGTTTTGATGTGCTAGGCCCGTTTGCACGACTCGGCCGACGCAGCGTGGCCCTCCTCCTCCTCCTCCGTCTGCTCCTCCCCCTCTTCCTTCTTCTCCTCCTCCTCCTCCTCCTCCTCCTGCTCCTCCTCCTCCTCGTCCTCCTCCTCTTCCTCTTGTTCCTCCTCCTCCTCTTCCTCCTCTTCCTCCGCCTCCTACTGCCCAGGACTCCTCCTCCTCCTGCTTCTCCTCCTCCTCCTCCTTCTCCTCCTCCTTGTCCTCCTCCTCCTCCTCGTCATCGTCCTCGTCCTCTTCCTCGTCCTCATCCTCCTCCTTCTCCTCCTCCTCCTCGTCCTCTTCCTCCTCGTCCTCGTCCTCCTCCTCGGCCTCGTCCTCCTCCCTGTCCTTCTCCCTGTTCTCCTCCTCCTCCTCCTTATCCTCCTCCTCCTCCTGCTCCTCCGCCTCCTCACTCTTGCTCCATCCGCCTCCCTCTTTCCTGATCCTCTACTACTCACTCTTCTCTTCTCTTCTGCCTCATCTGTTACATCGTCATCCCTGCCCCCTCCCGTGTTCCTCATCCTGCTCCCCCTCCCTCGTCCTCCTCCTCCTCCTCCTCCTCCTCCTCCTCCTCCTCCGCCTGTTCATCCTCCTCTTCCTCCTCCTTCTCCTCCTCCTACCCCTTCTCTCATCCCTTTCCCCTCTCCCCCGCCGCGCGCGCGGCTGGAGGAGGAGAAGAAGGTAAAGGACGATGGAGGAGAAGGAGGAGGAGAGATGACGAGGACAAGGACGGGAAGAGGAGTCTTCAAGAGCTAAAGTGACCTAAGCCCTCGGAGTCGGCTGAGGGGTTCGAGGGCGCCGATGGTCAGCTGGACACGCCCGAATCGCTGAGACTGCAGAAGGGGAGGGGAAGGAGGAGAAGGGGGAGGGTAAGAGAGGAGAGAAGAGGGGAGGGAGAGCGGGCGAGAAGACGTAGATAGGAGGAGAGCCAGCTACGCGTCTCAACTTGGAGACGCATGTCCCACTTGTCGATAGGCGGGCTGACCAGGGGCCGCGACCACAATTGCCAACATTGCCTACGGTATGGCAGGTGCACAACCTCATCAGGAGAGAGGGAGAGAAAGGACAGAGGGAAGAGTCAGGAGGGAACGGGAGCTGAGGGGAAGGGAGGGGACGGTAGGGAAAAAGGGGGTGAGGGGGGAGGGAAGAAAAGGAAGAAGAAAGAAGGAGAGAAGAGGAAGGAAAAAGACCTTGATGGGGAGGAACGGAAGGGGCGGAAGGCAGGGAGGAGAAGGAGGAGGAAACGACGACGACGGCGACGGCGGCGTTGGCGGCGGCAAGCTCCTCCGCGCGCGCTCGATCTCAAGCCGCCGCCGGCCCTGCTCGTACTCCCGCTGGACTGCCGCGGCGCGGTCGCGGGCCGCGCTGCGGGCCTGCGGAAGGCGGGGGAGGGAGGGCGGAAGGGTCTGTTCCTCATGCTCCTCCTCCTCCTGATCCTCCTCCTCCTCCTCCTCCTCCTCCTCCTCCTCCTCCTCTTTCTCCTCTTCTTTCTCCTCCTCTCTCTTTCCTCCTCCTCCTCCTCCTCCTCCTCCTCCTCCTCCTCTTCCTCCTCCTCCTCCTCCTCCTCCTCCTCCTCCTCCTCCCACTCCTCCTCCTCCTCCGCGCCAACGGCCACAGCAGCGGGCCCAGACGGTGCAGGCGTGCAGGCGGGCCACGAGGCGTCTCGGTGCACGAGCCACCGAGAGTGAGGAAGGGCCCACCCTGCAGGATCGGAGCCTCTCCTAAGCACGTGCCATGGGGAGCAGGAGGAGGAGGAGGAGATGAAGGATGCGGAGGAGGAGGAAGAGGAGGAGGACGAGGAGGAAGATGATGAGGAGGAGGAGGAGGAGGAGGAGGAGGAGGAAGAGGGGGGGGAGGGCGTAAGGGTCTCTTCCTCCTTCTCCCTCCTCGTCTTGTTATCCTCCTGGTGCTCATCCTCCTGCTCATCCGCAACCTCCGCCTCGATGGTGTCTTGCTGGGACGTTCAAGACGGCCGTGACACGCGTCCGCGGACAGAGACCATCAACGCAGTGGAAGGGATGGGAGGGAGGGTAGAACGTCAGATATCACGCGAGCGCGCCTAGCTTGTCCCTCCCCCTCCTTCCTCCTCCTCCTCCTCCTCCTCCTGCTCCTCCTGCTCCTGCTCTTCCCTCCTCCTCCTCCTCCCACCTTCTCTTCCCACCTCTCCCTTCGAGAATCCAGGAGGGCCGAGAAGGACTGAGGGTGCAGCAGAGGAGGAAGGATCGAGGCTCGAAAAACTAAAAAACGCGCCTTCGAGGCCTCGCTCCTCGGGGTCTGCCTCCAGGGGCGATCTTCGAGACAAAAAAGCAGCCCTGGGCGACAAGCTGACCAGGATGGACCCGCTGAGGGGTCCAGAGATCGGTGCTGAGCAGAGTTGGGGGGGGGGGGAGTCGAGTATCGAGGCCAGGAGGCAAATACAGGGAGGTCTTCGTCGGGAGGACTCGAAAGAATCGAGCCCCACTGGGGGGCTACTGCGCCAGAGTTGGCCGCGGAGCAACTGGGAGTGAGCCAGACTAAGCGGGATTAGGCCAGATTGCACGCAATGCAGCAGGGTGAAGCCTGATTAAGCCGTGTTTCGGACCAGGGCAAAGTCAGAATTTGACCTCCGAGGACTTGTATTCGAATCGAGGGTCGAAGTTGCTGGGCGCTCTGCTCCCTCTGAGGCTCGAGGAGGTTTCTCCTCGCCGCGGCCGCATTCCCCGTGAAGTTCTGGCCAAACCGCGCACCGGGACAGGTCCATGGGTCGACTGTTGAGGCGGAGGAGACAAGGATAGCCAGGCAATGCCTGGAGGGGGGGTACCAGAACAAAAGGGTCGCCAACTTCTCAGGGAGACGGACCCCCTTGGACCCCCCAGAACCCCCCAAGAACTCCCACAAAGTCGTCAAAGAACATCCGAAACCCCCTCGATCCTCGATCCCAAACGCCATCGATCCTCGATCCCAAACGTCCTCGATCCCAAATGTCCTCGATCCTCGATCCTCGATCCCAAACGTCCTCGATCCTCGATCTCCAGGAGGAGGTGGTGACTTTCCCCAGCGGTGCCCGCCCCTCGCCCTGCCCGAGATGGGGGGCAGAGCATCACGGTGCCGGCCTCCGGGGGGGGGGCCGCTGCGGGCCAACGGGCGCCACCAGAGGTGGAACATCAGCCCAGCATGGCCAGGAGACCCTCCTCCACCTCCTCCACCTTCTCATCACCACCACCCTCATCGTCAACTGCCATCATCACCAGCAGCAGCAACATAATCATCAGAATCAGCAGTCTCATCATCCTCATCATCATCATCATCATCATCATCATCATCATCATCAACATCAGCAGCAGCAGCATAATCATCATCAGCATCAGCATCGTCATCATCATCATCATTATCATCATCAGCATCATCATCAGCATCGGAAGTACCATCACCATCATCATCATCATGATACTCATCATCACTATCATCATCATCAGCAGTATCATCATCGTGATCATGATCAGCATCACCATCATCATCCTCATCATCAGCATCGTCGTCATCATGACCATCATCAGCGTCATCATCACAACCATGATCATCATCATGATCATGATCATCATCCTCATCCTCATCCTCAGACTCACCATCATCATGGTAATGCTCAACATCGTCATTATCATCATCGGCATCGTCACCGTCAGCATCAACATGATCATCATGGTCTTCATCATAATCATCATCACATCACGATCACTCGACGACCAGGCATGTCTAAAGAAACGAACACTGACATAAACATGAAAACTCCGAGGTAAGCGCGGATTCCTCTGATCGGCGCTGGAGCCCTCCTGGCGGCGCCTCCGGCGCCACCCTGGCGCGCTCCGCGCGCCAGAGGGAGGGTTGTCCAGCGCCGATCCGACGAATCCGCGCAGACCTCCGAGTTTTCATGTTTATGTCATTGCTTGGTCCCCTAATGTCAACAATCCTCCCTCAGACACTACGTATTCGACGATGGACCCTTTGTTACCCACTGGCCCCGGGCGGTCTTCTCGGCGGCCTTCTCGGCTGTCTTCTGGCAATGTTCGTAGATTGTCGGCTGTGTTTTGCTGTTGTTGATGGTCTTCTGACGGTCTTTGGTGCGGCAGCTTTCGGTTTGAAAACAGGACGCTTACGGTTCACAAGGGGTCCATGATCGAGCGCCTCATTTACATGACGTTCACTCCGGCAGATCTGCCGAACACCCCTGCGACGAGCACCTCTGTGCCAGAACGGACTCGCTTGAGGTTGCGCATCTTGGGCAAGCTGCGGGGGTGGTACCGATGTGGTACCCCTGCCAAATCATGAAGAATGGGCTTTGCAGCTAGTAATTCCGACTGCCATGCTTGGACGCATGATATTCCCAAGCGGGCAACGGCCAAAAGCATTTACTGGCTGCACCCACCATTCATGAACGGTGCGAGCGCGAGAGTTCCAAAGCACCGTGGACTCCATCTGACGTCCCAACTCAACAAAGTAGTCGAAACGTCTTCGCTAGTGTTTTTGCTTCTCCCTGCTCGCCCACTGGGACACAATCCATCGGCCATCTCGCTTACCACGCGAACTGGAGCTACACAAACGCGTTGGCTTACATGGTTGGCTCCTGGACCCGCGTAGTCTTCAAGGGGCGGCGCGTGTGGGCATACGTGCCCAATACGCTTGACAGGGTCAACTACGACCGTTTCGTGGCCAAACAGCGTGCGTCCTGGGTGCGCGAGCCTCTGTTGTTGAAGAACATCATCGTCGTAGACTTCAGGTAAATAAGGTTAACCAAAAAAGGGCCCCTAATCCGTGGAGATGGAGACGAGGTTACGAGGGCCAGACACATTGGGAATAGGGGCTCTTGTGTTGTTTGATGATCCGTGACCGGCACGAGCCTGCTCGCACGGTTTCATGATCCTTAACCGACTACCCCTGAAAGTAAGCCCCCGCGGATAATAAGAGTCAGGGCCCAGGAGAATAACATACGGCTTTCCGGCAGGATACCGGTGAGGATCTTGATGTTGATGAGGATGGTGACGATGATGCTGATGATGTTGATGATGAGTTCGGGTTTACTGGCCCATGCTCTAGAAATCCTTGCCACGTATTGTCAACAATGGTACTGTGGCCATGTTGGTCTGGCGACCAAAGTGAACCCTTAACGGTGACCGAAATGATTTATCCAAAATAGCACGCGTTTCCGACGTTTTCAAAAATATATCAAAATCGCCGTGGTGGCTTGGAAACTAAAGTGGTCCCTTAACGGTGATCTATGGTATGTTGAAGTTATCATGCGTCTACTAATATTTGCAACTATAGACAAATCGCCATGTTGGCCTGGAAACTTAACTGAACCCTTAACTGTGACTAACGACATTTCGGGTGACCCGCCCGCGCGTGGGTCATTCGATCGCGGGCGCGCGGACGCGCGCGTTGTGAATTTTGTGTTGTCCACAGTGGAAAAAATCGCCATGTTGGCCTGGAAACCAAAGTCAACCCTTAACTGTGACCAACGGGATCTCGGGTGGCCCGCCCGCGCGTGGGTCACCCGATCGTCTCCGCGCGCGTGGCGAATTTTGGATTGCCCACAATGGAAAACTCGCCATGTTGGCCAGGTAACCAAAGTGTAATCGTGACGGTGGCAGATTGTATGTTGAAGATAGCATGCGTCTTCTAATATTTCCACACACAGAAGAGTTCCCATGTTGGCCTTGAAACCGAAGTGCGCCGCTAACGGTGACTCGCGGGACTTCGGGTGACACGCCCGCGCGTTGGCGTGCGCGCGGACGCGCGCGTTGTGAATTTGTGTTGTCCACAATGGAACAGTCGCCATGCTGGCCTAGAAACAAAGTAAACCCTTAACTGTGGACTTTAATTTTCAGGCCGACATGGCGAAGAACTCTCCGCGCGCGCGCGAGAGCACTGTCAACCGTATAACGTTTGCACGGAAACCACACGTTCGAATTATGCAAATGCATGCTCGTGGTATGGCCTATAACGGGCGCGCGCAAGTTGTCGTAAGGGGCCATACAACATGAGCCTGCAGGGAAGAAAGCCAGCCATCCTCAACGTAAGAGGCAAAAGCCCGTCGAGACTTAGAAAACGAGCCTTGTGGGCGCATGGACATTTCATCCGAGCGCGTGATGTTGGGGTTATTTTTGGGGCTTTCTTGGGGAACTCTTAGGAAGCTGTTCTTGGGAACTCTTGGGAACCTCTCTTCTCGGGGCCTTCGTCGTGGAGCGGACGGAGGACGGTGTAAGGACGGAGGACGGGATCTACAAAAAAAGGAGAAGGGCGAATGACCATCCGCGCATCCAGCATAGCGCGGGGCAGGGGAGAGGGGGGGAGGAGGTGGAGAACGAGGAGGAGGAGAAGGAGGAAGAGGAGGACGGGAAGGGGGCGGGGGAGGGGGGGGAGGGGGAGGAAGAAGAGGAGGAAGAGGAGGAGAGAGGAGAAGGGGAGGGAGGAGCAGGAGGAGCAGGAGGAGCAGAAGGAGGAGGAGGAGGAGGCGGAGGAGGAGGAGGAGGGAGGAGGGGGAGGAGGGGGAGAAGTTGGAGAAGGGGGAGCAGGGGAAGGAGGGGAAGGAGGAGGAGGAGGAGGAGGAGGAGGAGGATGGGGGAAACTGGCGAGGCGGGACACCCCAGAAGCGAACTCACCCTGACGACGCACCCGGCCCTCCGACGGCATGATCCTCGACTCCCGTCAAAGGCGACTGCCTCCTCGCCCCGGGCCGTTCTGTGGATTGCCCCGGAGCCCCGGACAACACGGGCCCGGGAGCCCAGATTGTGGCCGCAGAGCCTTCGTCTCGATCTGCCCAACACGATGGAGGACTTGGGAAGAGGAGCAAAGCTGGGAAATCAGAAATACCGATGCCGCCACTCCGCGAACCTCTCCAAGGGTTGGTCGTAAATAGAATTTTGAGACGAGCCCAGCCGTGGCGAAGAGGGCCTCCCGGGAGGCCCAAAGGGGCGAAAACGGGGCAAAGGTGGCGGTATCGGTCCCTTTCCTCCTCCGGAACTCGGGGTGTCCTTGTCCGCCTCCAGCTGCCTCTTCCGCAGTAGCTCCTGCGGGCTGCTAACCATCAGTGGTGGGGCGGCACCACTCCCGGCTACACGCAAAGAGTGACCCTGGGCAAGGGTGACCCCTGGTGCGCGGCTCAACGGGGACGCGGGGCGACCAAGCCTGGGCGCGCAAGCCGCTGCTACCGTTTCGCGCTCAGCGATCGGGGGACCCCATTGTGCGGGCAATACTTCTGTCCACATCCGCTGCAGCTTGGAGAGCAGGGCTCCCTTCAACAGAAGCCCGAGGCACACTGAATCTTTCTTTTTTTAACCAATGATCTGCCCCCTCGGAGGCTCGGTCTTGCTCCATATATATATATATACATATATATCCAGTGCGCCTCGGCCCTGTGGCGCCCTCTCCACGAGAGTCCAAGACGCACTGGATGTGGATATAGTTATTGTCCGCACAGCAGGCCCGCACCAGAAGGTCACTCCTTTGGTCGACCCCGAAGGGGTCCAGCTGAACAGGGGTGGCTCGGGCCGGGCGAAAGGGGGAGATAGCAAAGGGGGGGGGTGAGAATCAGCTCACGTATAGCTGATTTTCCCAGCGCCTCCCGGGCGCCGGGAGTCGCCCATGTATATCGAGGAATGGGCCCGGCGGCGGGGTCGAGATCAGCGGCAGGCAGCAGATGTCGTTCCCCCCTCTTTCCCTAGCCCCCCCCTTTGTGTCGGCCCGAGCGGTGCAATAGATGTGGGGCAGTTGTATTGCAGATGTACTGCGCTGGGGACTTGTGTTGCACTGTACTGCAACGAACGCACTGCACGCGGACATCCAGCGATACACTTGCGCCCCAGAATGTAGTGCACGGCCCAAGTCTGTTGCGACCTACCAAATCTACTGCACCACCCCCTCGTCGCTGGACCCCCCTTCGGCACCCCTGCGTCTCGTCGGCGCTCACCGCGGGGGCCGCGGGCAGCGGGGCGGGGGGCGCGGCCGCACAGGGGAGGCGCGGTGGCCCCTTGGTGCGGGCCTGCGGCCGCCCCCCCCCCCTGACCACGGAGGAGCCTGGGCCCGGCACGCGGCGTCTCCACGTGGGTCAGGGCGA